CTCTCTCTCTCTCGTTGATCTCCAGATCGAGATTGCAACGATCGCACGAGAACCCCCGCGGTCGGCGGGGACAGAGGAGAAACGAGTCTCGAAATGTCTCAAACCGACGCGGACGAGATTCTCGTGGATGGTAAAACGAGGTATGTCGTGCGCGAAAGAATTATCAAGTGCTATTCAACAGTGCTATTCCCGCTTCGTGAGAGTCGCCTTCTCTCGCAGTCGCGTCTTCTTCGTTGATTAGGCGTTACGGAAATTAACGGGATCAACCCACCGGGGGAACAACTACGACTGGTCGCAGGTCGCGGACTTTTCGTCCGCGTGGCGTGCACTGTGACGCTTAATAGCAAAATGCGTGAATGCGATGAAATAAAATATACTAAGTGTGGAAGGTACGCGTGTCTGTAATAGCAGCCGGAACGACGATCGCCCGACTACTAATCGGCGGCGACGCTCTTTCATAAATTACCGATCGATCGGATCGACACTTTAACGCTATCTGCTGCTGTAAATAAGAGGAAGCCGTACTAAACGAGTCACGTGAATAAACGTGCAGTAAATTTATATATATATATATATATAAAAGGAGATGATCTTTTTCAAAAACACTGACTTTTATTTACTAATAATAATTATGTATTGTATCACATTATTATTGTTATAAAATATTAAAAATTCAGTAGAACATTTGTTGGCGTTCGGTAAAAAAAAAAAAGATTCTATCAAACTCTGTGGAAACGTGCAAAGAACATTTGCTTCACTTTTATTCACACGACTTTCTTCCGTTGCCGAAGAACCGAAGAAGTATAGAATAATATTACGACGAATAATAATAATTATACAAAGACGGAACAGAGAAACGCATGATCCTGCGGAAAACGCACATATAACAACGGGTACTATTGAGGGAGGGGGGAGGGGGAGGGAGCACGAAACAAGTATTGTCACACCATTCATCGATAGAAATAGTAACAGCGATAGGCGATAGTGTAACAATGTATATATATATATTTATAAATACAAGCGGCGAGTATCTTATCTTTTTTAGAGGCTCTCTATCAACTACAACATAACCGAAGCGAGTTATTCATGCGATAACGACTAAAAACTAATGTTGTCTATTTCGCGTAATAAAGGCGGAACACATCCGTCCGGCGCATTTAAAACGTTAAAACGAGCCCTCCAATGTGAATCACGCGATAACATCGAAATCAGATCCTCTAAAAATTAACAGATCCTACCTAGTGTTAAAAAAGATACAAATTATTTTATAAAATATGATTTAAGATTTTTTTAGGTAAAAGAGATAAAAAAAAAAATTATTAAAAATATAGATAAAAAGAAATCGTTGACACTTTAAGTTTGATGTCAATTTCGTTCTTGAATCCTTGTAAAATTTGACAATTTGCGATTTAAAAATATCGCATCAATTGCTAAGATGTTTACGATTATGAAACGATGAGTTATTTCGTGACTCTCATCGGAGGGTCTCCGATCGAAATGGAATGAGACTGATTTCCTGCGTAGAAGGAAAGCAAAAGG